ATAATTCAGTACTACTTTATGTTGTTCTTCAGATTGTTCCAGCTTTGAACATTGGGAGCTTTTTTTCAGTTGCCTTCTATGCCCCTCCTTAATATACTCCCACTTATTTGTTTGTTTGTTATTTAATTTTGGAGTTCTTTTTCACTTTCTGGCACTACAAGATGATCCAGGCTCATAGTGTATATTTCCTACCCTAGTCCTAGAATCAGCCATTTTTCTAAGGAGATCTGGTTTCTTTCATTGTACAATGGTATTAGAGATTAAGATCTGGGTGTGAGGTGTGCCACCGGGGTGTTGTTGGCTTCTAAGCCATTTCAGCTGACACAGCAAGGACATATATGTGTGTATATCAACAAAAGTATGTAAACATACCTATATATTTCTAAATGTATCCATCTATATCTGTGTTAAACTAAACATGGTTTCCTACTGATGTCTGCAACTCTTATCCCTCCCATACTGATCGTTCTAGCCTTCTCCCCTTGCTTATCTATAACTTATGCAATAGTGAGAAACCTGGCTCTCACTGTCTATCATCCATTTACTTGATTTTTCAATTCCAGTGTATATTTATAGTGGTTTCAGAATTGTTAACCTCTACTCCCATGGGAAATAACTTTATCAACTCAAGTACAGTGTTTCTTTTTTGCCTTTGGTTTTACATTCTTTACCAATTTCCAGAGTTATTCACATGAGCACATTTTCTGCACTCCTTTCAGTGAGGTTTGTTCATACATTTAGCAAGTCTTAAAAATCTGTACATTGTATGAGTCCATTTAAATGACACTCTAGAAAAGGCAAAACATATATAGAGAGTAAATGAAGCATTGGTCATCGGTTAGATTCTTTGTCACATTCTGCATTCCATCCTGGGGTCTCCTGACCTCCAAATGATTTTCTAAATATTTGCACACATTAAGGTTCATGGGTTTTGACAAATGCTTAATGTCATATATACACTATTATAGCATCATACAGAATAATTTCACCATCCTAAAAAGTTCCCTATGTTTCACCTTTTACATACTTTCCAACACCTAAGCCCCTGGCAACTACTGATCTGCTTACTGTCTCTATAGTTTTGCCTTTTCTAGAATGTCACATAAATGGAATCATGCAGTATGTGGCCTTTCCAGACTGTCTTCATTTGCTTACAATATTCATTTAAGATTCATCCATGTCTTTGCATGGCTTGATAGGCCATTCCTTTTTATTACTGAATAGTATGGAGAAGGGCTTTATATTCTGAATTCCACAGCACATAACCTCATAGGTATCCACCTGACATTTTTTTCTCATGTTCTCTTGTTACACAGAGGTTTTTTCTGCCATATCCCTACACAGTACTCAGTTGTTCTCCTATTATCACGAACAATTTAGCTCTCTCCCCAAGCCTGCATACTATACTCAGTAGAGAACAAAGGGCTTTTAGGGTTTTAGCTCCCACTCAAACAGCTTAGACCTTACCTCCCTATTAACACCTACATTACAGTTCTTTATGCTCCTGGTTAACATTCCCTGCTCCCAACATCAGCATTTCATCTCACTTTATAAGTTCTTTCAAAGTGTGAGCTATATCTTTATCTCTGTATTCTGCAACAGTGTTGTGCCTTGCCCCTAGTAGGTATTCAATAAATATTCACTGAACAAACAAATAAGTGATTTGGTATAATGTGAGAGCCAGATTGCAGACAAACTGACAAAACCTGAAATGCATGCAATATTCCATCCACTTGGGTAGTATAGCTATTTTCTATGCACTCTTTTCTTTTTTCACTACTTGAAGGCCACTTGCAAAAAATGGCCTGAAATCTGACATACATTCAATTTATATAGAACATATGGTGTTTATAAAAGCATTACCAAATAGTATCATGCTAGTGAACCTTGATAATGTGTGTCAGAGGTTTTCAGCATTAGCCCAGAACATCAACATTACTACAAACAGCTGAAATATATTGTAAGAAATTTATTTTCTCATAAAATGTTGCATGGGCAAGTTTTTGGGAATTAGCTAGCCAGATTAGAATTATCATCATTCCTATTATTAGTAAAAGGCGTTGATGTAGTTCTTTATTAAGTCATTAGCTTAAAAATTGTTTAACATTGGCATAAAATTTAAACACTAGGCCTCCAAGTGAAATATTCTAGAAGGATCCTCATTTTACATACTTAAATTCCAGAAAAATCTTGGAAACAACAGTTCCATCTGTGGGCACCTCTTACAAAGCCTGTGTTGCACAGGTACTTGCTGCCTTCAACCTGTGTACCTCAACCTCTGTATGCTAGATCCCTAATTTTGATGTGAATAAACTGTTGAGATTTGGGTGCTGGGGAAAGGGGAGTTCTTAAATTTCTCCTTCTTCTCTCTCCTCCTTGTCCTATCCCTCCCCCTCCTCCTCTTCCTCTTTTTCCTTCTTAAAATGTCTGCCGTTGTTTTGGGTTATGGAGAATGTTGTCATCCAGAAGAAAGTAATTTCTCTTTAGCTAAATCTCACATGTTTGCAATCATCCTTTACATACACAATACTTTGTATCAGAAATGAGGTCTTAAGGGGCTTGTTGAACTTTCAAAGTCAAGAATTCTCCATTTTAGGAATTTATTCGTTGCTGGGAAGATTTTTTTTTAAAGTATAAAACTACAAGTAGAATATTACAAAAATACTTTGAGTCTTTGGATAAGTTTTAAATCTTTTTGATTTATATTGTAAGGTAGGTACATATATTTTGAACATTTGAAAGGGCTGAACTCTTTTTATATCTTGAACTTTTCCCATACCCTTCCATTTGTAACTTTCAGGTTGTGGAAATGACATAAAGAAGTTGCTACTAGAAGATGGTGGTTAGCTGGAAGTTGTTGGTGTATCACTTCAGGTTAGGTGATGTTTGTTTCTCAGGCATGAGAAATCATTAACCCTTTTAAGTAGACGCTGGGTAGGAAACAAATAAAAACCAGAAAATAAAATGGTGATGATCTATACGAGGCCTCCCAAAGGAGTTTGCTTCTCAAAATAAATGAAAATAAGATTTCTTGTCATACAGATAAGAACTTTCTAACATTCCATGTATGCATAAAATTCCATATATGCAAACAGGTTTCACAATTTGAAAGATTTGGATTGCTTGTATACTGCATTTAGCTGAAATGAAAATCCAACTCTCTGGAGTTCATCTTACCCCAATAATATGCTAATTCATCCTCATGGCCTTTAAGAGTTAGTGTCATAATTTGCAACTAACTAGTAGAAAGATACTTGGGAAAAATTGGTTCAGTATTTTTCTTAACTAATTGTGTTTTCAGGATGAAGATCAACAGACTATGAATCAGTGTGTTCCAACTGTACCTATACTATTGATTGATTGGGTATTTCCCTCGGGACATTTCTATTTGACAAACTGACACATAGATGCAAACAGTTCAAATACATTTCTTTCTGCACTGATAAATTTGTTCATGTTCTCCAGAAGTGGAAAATATGGTGTGACCTTTTCTACATTTTGAAATCTCGTGGCAAGTTTTCCATGCTGGGTAAATATATATGGCACCTTATGACATTCAAGGTACATCACATATGTTGCACATTTTACAGGTTTCAAAGCTCTTTCATATGTTATTTCACATTCACTTTACAACAATTCTGCAATATCAATAGGGCAGACATCATTCTAATTATTCATAGATCATGAGGCTTGGAAATTTTTAACAGATTTTCTATAGTCACAAAAACTAGGATGTGGTAGAGCCAGAATCAGAACTTAAGTTTTCAGATTTGAGCCCAGAAAACTCCACCCTAATACAAGTTTAGAGTATTACTGCTTTTGGCCAAGGGACATTGTGATATGATGGAAATGATATATTTTGCAATGTATGCTCTGGTGGTACTTAGATAGCACTTTATACTTCTCATATTTATCACTGTGACCTTTTGATAGAAAGAGATCTCATTGCTATTCTTTCCTTTGATTTCTTTAATAGTTAATCTTATTTTCCAACAAGAATTTTAAGACCTGACGTAAATATTATAATTAACACATTAAGAGGATATATCAGCGTGACCCACTTTGTGTTCATTTTCCAGTGTGGATACTCATTAATGTAATTTAATGTTACTTTCAAAACAACAAATCTCTATGACTGAGTTTACATGGATGCATTCAGTCAAAGAGTGGGCCATCTCCTAAAAGTTCTTTCTCTGCACTAATCATTGCAATGTTAGTAGTTAGTAGAGAAAAGAGAATTGAATTTTGCTGCCATCTTTTGTCCAGCAGAGCTCAATGCACAGCTTCTACTCAGATGAGATTATTTTGTCTGGCCATGAAATAGTTTTGCAATTGAGCATGATGCTAGAAGCAGAAAGGAAAAGTTTAAGAAGAATGACTTTCCTACTGATTCCTGGGTTTCTTAAGACATATTCCTTTAACCTATTTCTGTCTTTTGCTCTTCTCCATATACACATAAGTCCTGATGTTTTCCTATTAATATTTGCCCTTTACAGCTACTTGATGGAGTATCTAGTCAAAACAGTAGGTTTCCATTTCTCAGAACCTGGCAGAAACTCAAGAAATGGCTTTTCCTCCTCAATGCTTTTGAAGTTTTAAGCCTACTGGGTATAAAGTAGTGAATCATGTCCTTTGGATTTTTTAAAAATTATAGATATGATAATGCAAATTTTATTTTTCCCCACAGAACCCCATATATTAACTGATTTGAACATATTTCTTTTTTTGTAACATATATTATTAGGAAAAGAGAAAAAAAGTCAATATTCAGAAAAAAACTGTGTTAACTTTAACTGAAGCACTTGTAATTGTACCCAAAAACATCTGGGGAATCTTGGAAACTAGTAATGTTCTCAAGAAAACTCAAGCTACTGAATATATAAAATTTAAGGAGCACATTTCACATCAGTTCCCTATGTCTGTGTATTGAAAATGAAAGTGTGTCAGATATTAATCCTTCTAGGAAGCTTGGAAAGTTTCATATTCCTTTGTCCTCTTAGGTGGCCATGTTTGTGCTACAACTGGGTAGTGCCACATTCCTGCTTACAGAACCTGTGATCAGTGCGATGACAACTGGGGCTGCCACCCATGTCGTGACTTCACAAGTCAAATATCTCTTGGGAATGAAAATGCCGTATATATCTGGACCACTTGGATTCTTTTATGTGAGTTTTTCCGTATGTCTTTGTTCATATATTTTGGGTGTGTGTTTCACATAGTAAAATTTGGTTAATTACAATGTTGAGATTATTCTATTTTAAAGCAACTTGGGCTTAAATAAAATCTTTTAGGATATTTTTAATGTGATTAAGGGTGTGAAACTAATTAGTAAAACCTACTAATTTGGGGAGCAATTCTTTGTAATAAACAATTAAATACGGTATAATTTGGGAACATGGTTGGAAAAATAGCTTGAATTTTTCTGTGACCAGATATGTTGCTAACTTCTAATGGAAGCCATCTACCAGGCTTGTGGCCCAGTGTAACAACAGTACACCTTACCACATTCTTTCCATATTGTGAACCCTGGTATAGATCAAATCAGAGGCTTGGTCAAAACTGGGGTTGAGTCCCAATAGCAGACAATCAGTTATTAAAAGTCACTTGAACCTGAGATAGGAACATGTGTCCAGTTTGAACATATTATCCTAATAATTCCCCATTCTTCTTGGTCTCTTTTGGAAGCTGACCTAAAATTTATGACTGCTCAGGAAGTCACATCCTATTGGAGTTTTATAAGAAAATCAATGTCTTGTTAATGAAGTTGAGAACAACCAGACTTCATTTTATTTAATTTTATATTGTAGAGGAGGAAAAGTATATTTTCCTTCTATCCTTGAGGAGCTGGGGCTCCTGTAACAAAAGACTAACAAGAGAAAAACAAACAAGTATATTAGCATGTATATTTCATATACACATGGGAGAAACTCCGGGATTAGTAACTCAAAGGAAGTGGCTAGGATTTGGGTTTAAATAATATCTTTAGTTAAAACAAAGGAATAAGAGTTGAGGGAAGCAAGTTATGAGAAGGTGACCATGAAAAATACAGTGAACATGGGTAAGATTTATTATGCAGGTTTAAATCAGTGCCTTCTCCATTGGTAAGAATCTCTTGTGATTTAGAGTCAGCTTTTTCTTCCTGGTACTAAGAGGAAGACACCCTTGCAAACAGAGATTTTCTATATAAATGTAAATTTCTCTATGAAAGGGTAACTTACACTGTTCTCAGAGGTTCCCTGTGTCTGTTGTTTCTCAAAATAATAAGCTAAAAATAATTCTTATACCAAAGAGGCATATTTTGGAGTGGCATATTCTGGTCTCCTACAATGTAATGTTCTATACTGAATTACATTAATGTTTTATAATGAGAGTATTCCCATTCCTAATATTCTTGCTCTTAATCAAGGAATGGCTGAATAGTAGCTCCATATATAGAAGTTTAATAAATTATCTAATTCCTGTTATTGAGGTGGTTTGTGGTATTTCACCATTATACACAGCTCATTGAAGATTTGTTTTATTCCTGTGTTCTAGTTTGCATCCCTGATGATTTCATTGAGATCAATTCCTAGTTATGGAATCACTGGATTAAAATATTTTTGCCAAATATCAATCTGAAAAGCTGTACCAATTAATATTTACTCTCATCATTGTCAACTCTGATTATTACTATTTTTAAAATTTGCCATTTTGTTATGTGAAAAATAGTATCACTTTTCTGTTTGTGTGTTTCTCTGATTAGTTGGTAAAGTAGTTAATATAGATAGTAATTGGCAACACAAAGCTGGAAGCTTGTTCTAAATTTTTGTTATTTAGGTAATATCTTGCTCAGTGATTCATTCATTATAAGAAAGCATAAAACTAAAACAAGAACACTAAAACTGGAAGTGGAAACAATATAATTCTAAGCTCTAAATCAAACAAAAGTAGATCAAAATAGCTGTAAGTTATCAGGTGACTGGCTGAGTTAAAACTTTTGGTGATGCCAGGTGTGTACCAACAGAACCAAATCAGTACTAGATTCTGTCCTGATATCCTGGCTGGGAACAGCACGCTTGTCTGTGCATGAGCAGTGTAAAGAAATGAGTGCAGGTTACAAGCTGGCCACCTCAGTCATATTCACATTACACAAATAATCATTCCTCTTTTCACTAGTTGTGCTAAAAGAAGCTGAACAGCCGGATATGAGAACATTTGGTCTTTCAACTTGTTTCTCTTGTGGCAATGTGTATAAAATTCTACATTGAAGTGTTTTGTGTATGATTTTTTAAATTTTGTTTTCTTGGAAGGTTAAGCTGCAAGCTACTTTTTCTTTGCCTTGTAGATCAGACACTGTAATGTGACTTTTGGGGGTCTTTTGTAAGGTCTCATACTGAAATGTAATCAGATTTAGAAATATTGTTAGATGGCTGACTATATTTGCATTACTCAGTTGGTGGAAGTTGGTATGCTTTGTGTAGATGGAAAACAAAGAAAAGTTGCTCTTGCTTTTCAAAGTCTCAGAGCCCTGCACTGTTAGGCACCTAGGTAAGAATGATGCTTTGGTTCTTGCCAAGGTTTCAAAATTAATGCTAATATTGCAAAGTCAAAAATTGTGATCTGAGCATTAGATTAAGAAATAGATTTTGCATCATGCATAGGTCACACTGGGACATTTAGAAGGTGTGCTTTGGTGTAGTTAGGCTAAAAAAGAATCTGATGATAATAATGTAAATCTGAACTTGCCCATGGATCATTTAGGTGGGATGTGAAGGAGGAGAGCTGAACTCAGTACAGAGGTATAGAACAGAGGACAAAATAGAGGCCTTGATCATCAGGTCAAAGAACCTAGAGGAGAATGATTTAACATATTTTTGGATTTTTTCTGCTTCTAAGTTCTCAAAACTGTTATATCCTTTATGAAAGCTACTCAAGTTGATGAAGGATAAAGAATATGTTACTGATATTCCTTGGAACATAAATTAATATCTAGACTATTTGAGACTCTTATACAATGTGCCAATCACCACTCCCAATAGTCTCAGCTGGAACACTCAAATTTCCTAAAACAATTCAGAATTGGCCAATCAAAATGTGCATTAATTAATTCCATTAATAGCAGCGCTTATGGTCAACTTTGAGAGAAAACATAGCCTTTTGTCTTTATCCTGTTCTTATGTTACTGCATATTGAGGTATCTTCCATCTGCCACTGCAATGGTTTCTACAGTGTCTTCTTCCTGGTGGATGCCTGATTCCGTTCTACTAAGAGAATCTAATTCTCTAGTTTGATTAGCTAAAATCTCTATCTCTTTGGTTACTTAGGGCTGGCAGATGTTCTTGCTTCCATGGAACATTTTAAACGATTAATTTGAATCAGATAAGGTTAGTGTTACATGCTCAGTTCTTCCCTCTCAGATTATAGAACAGACTTCCAATAGATCCTTTTTTTTGACTTATAGTTGATTTACATTGTTTCAGGTGTAATTCTTTTTCAGATTCTTTTCCATTAAGGTTATTACAAGGTATTGAATATAGTTCCCTCTGTTATACAGTCACGTCCTTGTTGTTTACCTGTTTTATATATAGTACTGTTTATCTGTTAATCCCAGATTCCTAATTTATCCCTCCCCCCATTCTCTTTCCCCTTTGGAAACCATAAGTTTGTTTTCTATGTCAGTGCACTTTAAAAAGTGCTATATAAGTAATAGATACTAATCCTTTTCCTCTCTAGAGGACTGTTAATCAGATAAGCAAATCTAAATAATAAAACAAAATTATATCTTTTTTTCAACTTACAAATAAAGATGATTCCAAAATTTGTAAAACATAAAAAATATCTGCTATTAATGAGGGTTAGTCATCAGAAGTAAAGAAATGCTATGTTTTTTATTTTATTTTTAATTTAAAATAATTCCATCTATTCAGCTCATTCCCCCCCCAACCAGTTATAAACCCATTTAATAAATTATAAACAGTTCTGCAATATATTGTAAAACAAGCAGAAGCAATAATATTATGAGTCACTTCTATCTTTGGACCCTGACTCACCAGTTAAATCATTTTATTCCTGTGTTCTCAAATTAATTTTTTTTTCTATTTTGTTATATTTTTTAGCTTTATTTCTTAGACCCCACATATAAGTCGTATCATAAAGTATTTGTCTTTCTCTGTCTAATTTATTTCACTTAGTATAGTACCCTCCAGATCCATCCATGTTGTTGCAAATGGCAAAATTTCATTTTTTTGCGTGTGTGGCTGAGTAATATTCCATTGTATATATATGGTATATATATATATATATATATATATATACACACCACATCTTCTTTATTCATTCATCTATTGATGAACGCTTAGGTTGCTTCCATATCTTGACTATTGTAAACAATATTGCTGTGAACATTGGGGTACATGTATCTTTTTGAACTAGCATTTTCATTTTGGGGGATTGATACCCAGAAGTGGACTTGCTGGATCATATGGTAGTTCTATTTTTAGTTTTTTTGAGAAACCACCATACTGTTTTCCATAGTGGCTGCACCAATCTACATTCCCACTAACAGTGCACTAGGGTTCCCTTTTGAGAGATTTTTATAAAAAGAAAAATAATTTTGAAGTTTATTTTAATACTCATTAGAAGGGAAATTCTCTAATTGATAAAACCAAAATCTAGAGAAAAAGCCTCACTATGTGAATTTTTGAAGCCTAAAAGCTTCTGGAGAAGGCAATCAGAGAGCAGGAAGATAGCAGGTTGAGACCAAATAAAATTTTTTATGAAATTTAAATTTTTGACTGATAGTTGGTCCCACACAGATAACAGGGAAAAGGTTAATTATTCTTGTCAATACAAAAATTGATTTTTTATACTGAGAAATGATGATGTATCTTTTTATTAGAAAGGATGTTTCCCCCCAAAAGGCACAATAAAACAAAAATTACTAGTTCATATTAGCAAATGTGAATTTCTTTGAGGTGGCACCAGTGTCTCAACCTGTAGCAGCCTATGATAAATCTGGCAACGTTATTTTCACTGGCATGGCTTTATATGAGAACTCTTCTAAATAATTCTGTACATTAAAGCCAAGAGCACAAGGCAAGCTTGGCAACACATTCACCTACCTTTTTTGGGGAGTTTTTACTTCCTTTTTCAAAATTGAGGAGTTTCAGAACCAGAAAGCAATTTC